GGTGGACCCGTGGTGGAGGGGTGGTGACAAAAAAATGGGGGGGGGGGGGGGGTTGAGGTTCACACCATCTATCTATCTATCTATCTATCTAGATAAAAATATACAGTACCGTATTGGCCCGAATATAAGACGGCCCTGATTATAAGACGACCCCCTGTTTTTCAAGACTCAAGTTTGAAAAAAGACTTTTTGAACACCAAATTAATTTTTATACAGAAAATAATTACAGTGCATCTGAAACAAATAATTTTAACAATATATTTGAGAGAAAAAGCATGTTGTTTTGCCTCATTCAAATCTCAAGTGCAATCACATTCGGAAATGAATGGCTTCTGGTTTTGAAACGTAAATTACTTCATAACTTCTCAGCTGCCGGTTAACCTGGCCGATCTTCGACCCACTTTTCTCCAGATTGTCACGATGTTTCTCCATTTTCTGTCATCGCTTATATTATTTTCTTCTCTTTTCTTTTTTAATGCTATTTTTTTTATTTTTCTTCTTCGAGCTTCTGCAATTTTAATTTTTATTCTTCGGTGGCAGGGGTTCACTTTGGCCTGGGGAGTCAAGTTCAGCATTCGCTTCAATGATATCTGGCACCATCTAGCGTCGTGAATGGGTATAATGTCTAGACCCCGAATAACCCACTCCCGCTTATTTGTCCGACCTGAGTGCCCTGCCGAAGGACGACAAGAGCGGGCAAGGAGGGATGTCCTCGGGCTTCCTCTTGGCCCAGTAGTAGCTGGAAAACGTCCCGGCGAGCGTGCATTGTTCCAGGGCCGAGCCGAAGTTGACCAGCCATAGAAAGATCAGCAAGTTGGACATCTGGAGCGGGAAGATGTAACGGTGGTAGGCTGTCTCTCCGCCGTAAAATGCAAATAGGCACTGAGAACCAGCGCACGTCGTTTCTTTGGAGACGTCGCTTCTGTTGAAAGTCTGCCGCGTGAGAGAATGGAAGAAAGCGGTTACTGCAAAGGTTAGGGAGGAAAAAACTGCAAATACAAAAAATGAACCTATATTTCTAACTGTCTCGACAACAGAAATGGTTTCAAAGAATCTCTGAACTTGCAACTAAAAATGAGATGCTCTTACCTGCGGGTTGCAAGTGCTGTTGGAATGCGGACAGCTTCCATCAGGGCACACCACCTTATAGACGGCGTCACCGGAGGATGCCAAGTAACTGGTTTACAGCGTCAGTGAAAGAGAGATCAATTGAATGGCACATGAGCCGCATTGACCGAGCAAAGGCAAAGCACGTATGAGAGCGGGAGAATGAACGAGAGAATTGCCCGATACTCGAACAAGTCAGCATTGCTGACGATCTCCGAACCCCTCGACGCTGATTGTCGTGAATTGGGAAGGAGCCCCCTCGGCTCAAACCGCAGTCAAAAATGCCTCCTGTATTCCTCGGATGTCGGCTGGTCCGTTACCGACACATACGCTAGCTCGCAGGCTGAGGCAAGCGTGAGTTTCTCTGCTTTGCGTTCGAACGTGGAACAACCTCCTTTTTGGGGCCGCTCGACTGGAATTTGGGGACTGCGAACTTGGATCGTCTGTCCGATCTGAGATAAATAGTGCGAAGATAAAAATGTGCGTCCATCCTCCCGTCCACCCACCCGTCTGTCCGTCCACTTTTGAATCCGCTTCTCCTCATGAGCGTGCCGGAGCCTCTCCCAGCCGTCTTCGGGCAAATTAATATGATGTGTCGGACGGTCGGGGCAAATTTAACGCCAAGCTCTTTTGTGCCATCTTGGACCGTTTCTCAAGGATACACAGCGGTCACCGCCCAGTAGGAAATACAAACAGTCAGCAAGAGAAAAGTTACGAGCGGGTAGAAGAGGGTTGACACGACGTGGCCGACGGCTCTGCAAAAGAGTCAAAGCAAATAAATGACAACAGGCAGGAATCGCGTCGCTGCGTTGCCCCCCCCCATTCAGATGGACATACTTGCTGGCCTCTCTGAGCAGGGCAATGGCCAACTTGACCCTCCTCCTCATGATGACAAGGATCAACAAGATCGAAACCTCTGTCACTCCAAGTGCCACCACTGGGAAAGGCAAAGCGAGAACAAACGCGACCTTGACATGCATGCTCGTTGATGTCTGAGATGAATTGTTTGCTAATAGAGTTGCCCGCACGTCAGGATTGAGCTGAATCCCGAGACCGGCATCGTTTCAAGACCCATGACACGGATGGCTGCGGGAGAGCTCCTTTTTTTTTTTTTCCTTCCTCCCCAAAGCACGAGCCGTGAAAGACGACGCCCGTGCAGTCCCGCCCACTTAAAAGCGCCCGCTTTCAAGGTCCAGAAAGTTCTCCAGAAAACGCCCCGCATTTATCATTTGTCCAAAAATGACGGAAGGTGTAAAGAAGCGAAGCGCGACTTACGTACATAAAATGATCCAAGTTTCTCTGAGCTGTAGATAGACTCTGAGATCCGTCTGCAGTCCAACTTGCGCGATGGAGACGTCAGAACCTCGAGTGCGTCCCAGTGCGGCGAAGGCCACCGAGCAGTGCCACAGACCTACGTCGGACGGCTCGTTGAATGCCACTCCCAGCTCACAAAAATGAACACCGATTCTAGCGAATCGGGCGACGGATGCGTGGACGGACGGAAAAGGCGGGCGGGCGAAACGTACCATGTGCGAGGAGCAGCATGACAGTGATGACTGTCGCCCACAACATCAGCCCGGCTGTGAATCTCAAGAGTACGATAAAGGCCAGACTAAACAACAAGGACACCGCTAGACCTCTGAGGGGGAAAAAAACAAACAAACAAAAAAAAAAACGGCAATGAGAGAGAGGATCGAAGAAAGACATCAGCATCTGAAACGATTCGGAAACGCTCAGCCAAGTCATCATTGCCAACTTCTCAGTTCCCACGACACGTACGCAATCTGGACCGACAACGGGCCCGTTGCCGTCTTCGAGGAAACGACGCCGACGCGGCGTCACTCGCGACGTTGATAATGACGACAGCTGAGACGCAACAACCTCGTTTCCCACCAAAGGTCGGCAACCGGCTTCCTTGATGGTTTTCGTTTGAAGCGGGGCGGCTGCGCGCGCTGCTCAGTGTGCCGTGAATGACGTGGCCCGGATTTCTTTGCGGGTTTGGAACGCGAGGAGGCCAGCGACCGATAAACGCGGCAGAAGGTGACGACGCAAAGGAGCCCGTTAGGTCTCCCTCCGGATATCCCGCTGCGGGAGAGCTTTTCCCGAAATGACGCAATATCACTGCCGGACGATGTTGCAAATTCCGAGTGACTCGGTGAGGCGTCGGCTCCGTTACTACATCCGTGAAATTCGGACCTCAACTTGCACCGCAGCCTTCCGCTCTGAACGAGTGACCTCAGAGCTCCAACTGCTGTCCGCCATCACGGGTGACACAGAACCGTCACGAGATACGGTGACGTGAGCTACAGTCCTCAAAAGCGAGACGACGGTCAAGGAATTCCCAGGACATCATACGTGCAGTGGCTCCAAGTTCCGAGCACGCGAGTTACCCAACAATCCACGGCCAAGACTTGGCGTAGTCTTCCACGATCTTCAGGGCCAGCTGCCGAGGCTCCGCGAGTCCTCTGATGCCTCTGCAAAAGGAGCGGGCATCCATCAGCAAGGAATCACTCGCCACCTCAACCCGAGTGAGAACCTGCGGAGCCTCCTCGCGAAAGAAGGGGCATCAGCGTCAACCGCAACTCTGAACACAAACTCTGCCAGCTCGTCATTGCTGGATTTTTGGGGTTTTTTTTTGTCGTTTCTTTTCAACCGCCACATTATTAGCCACAAAACGGCTGCGGCTACAAATTTGGAAAAATACCGCTGCCACCGTGATAGCTTTGTTTCCTGTCAAAGGCATAAATGTATAAACAAGCTAATAGAACTGTTAAGAAAAAAAAAAGACGTTCAGTGTTAATCGCCCCGACTGGATCGGATAAGAAACAAAAACAGCATAGGCTTATTCCTTTGAAACACGCTGCAAACTGGGCTGCGTGGAAAATAGCCAAAAGGAGCGAGCGTACTCGGCGGCATCTTGGAGCTCGGTGACACTGCGCGCCGTTTCGAGAGCATCTTGGAACCTCGTCTTATTGGCCACCGTCGCCGTCCCGTTACGAGCGATCACATCTGGTAGACATCGTTGGAGAACTGACCGCGGCCCGCACACACACACACACACACACACACACACACACACACAATTTATTCATGTGATGTGGTGTTCCGTAATATGGCAAAACCTCATCGATTGTGAATAAGGTGACAACAACAAGAGTCATTCTTACATGGTCTACTTGGCACAATCACCGAGGGACAATCCTCGTCTCGCAGAACCTCCGATAGCGGCTGCAAGAAGAAGCCGAACAAAAGAAACGTGAAGCAAAGACCAAGGAAACGCGTTCAGAGTTCAAAAAGTGATTCCAAATCGAAACGGGACGTGGCGGGCTTTTGGAAATTAGCGTTCAATTCAAATCAACACGCAATGAAGTGAAGATGTTCCCGAGCGGTTTTCTCCACTCCAAATTGTCCCGGGGTGCGAGTGTGAGCGCCAACGGTCGGTGCCCCGGGCCGGCAACCGCTCGAGGTTGCTGCCTGAAGACGGCTTCCTCCGGCGCGCCCGGATAAAGCGGTTTGGACAATGGCCATATGGACGGACCTTCTTGAGTGCGCTTGGAGGTGCGGAAATTGGACCTGATTTGTCAAGACCTTTGGCGAAGGAACCCGTATTGAAAGCGGATCCTGCTTTGGCGGACAAAACTAGCGCTGCTCAATATCAAACCAAGCCAAGATGCGGATGGACTCGGTTGCGATGTCGATTGGGACCGGTACCTTGTCAGGGTTATTAAAACCAGGTTTGCAGAACTGGCTGTAATACTGCCAGGAACCGTTGCCCGCTTTGTGCTCCCGTTGCATCTCGGTATAAGTGGCAAATTTGTCTGGGCACCGTGACACACACATCTGAAAGCACAGGACGTCAAGACGGTTGGGGAATCATCAAGTCATTGGGCTAAACACACACACACACACACACACACACACACACACACACACACAAATATTGATTACAAGTGTGTGTGTCTGTGTGTACATTTTGAACTGTACCACTAAGAATAAAAGCAAAAAAAAAAAAAAAGGAATTGAAAAGTCAATTGAATGCGATTGGACAAACTGTTTTGCTATCGTTCTGTGGAACTGACACGAGCAAAAACAAATCGATCAGTCAATCAATGAACAGTAACAGGAAGGCGGAGGATTTTGGCGCGGTGAACAGCATACGCCGTCGTCGTCCATTGAAACGGAGGCACTTTTCAACGAATCCTGTTTTGCCGTTCTTACTTGAGTTGTTGGGCACCGCAGGTTGATGAGAAGAGAAGGGTTGGCACATTTCAAGATGTTGAAATAGAAGAGAATGGGCTTCTTCCTGCAAAAAAACACATCGTCGTCATCATCATCATCAAGTCGGCATTGTTAGCTCGAGTTCACCAAGGCACTCCACTGTCACTTGATGAAGTCTTGTCTTTGGCATGCCCAAGAAATGCCATTTATTTTGCCTCATGTCCTCATGAGATATTGTCAAGGCGTTCGGTGTGTAAATATGCATCGGAAGTAATGAGAAATGAATGACTCACGCATTGGAGGTTCCCTTCTGACCACAAAACTCGCCGTAACTGTTTGTTGGAAGGAGCACCTTCCTGGGGTCACCGTGGAACCGGGCTGGAAAAAGAGAGCAAAGATTTCACCCCAAAGGAAGTGATGAGCATGCGAGCGAGAATGAAACATTTTCGTAGTTTTCTCTTTGCTCCATTCCCAATGTACACAGCGACCTCGAGATTTCATCGACTTAGCGCGTGAGCGAGCGCTCGATATGCAACAAGGGTGACATTCTCCCATTCAGGCTTGAATTACGCGCGAGGCTTGCAAGAGCGGTGATTTGCACGTCCATACATCTGAAACGTTCACATTTGTGTGCAATCACGGGGCGGATTGGGCTCTCCCACCTCAAGGAGGAGGAGGAGGAGGAGGAGGAGTCCCAAGCACAAGCTCCAAACTCCCCTGACCTCCAGAGGTCACGAGAGGCCACGCCAGCTCCTTGAGCTGAGGAAAGTAACACTCGACTGGACACTGAACTCTCAATGGACTCAATGTTAAGTACCGTCTCTAGGGTATTCAGAATATTTGCCCCCCTCAATGCCTTTAATATGCCCCCCCCACCCCCTCTCTCTTAAGTGGAAGCTCTATAGGGGTGCTACAGAGCCATTTGTTAAAATCACCGCATGTGCCAACTGAAAATGATGGAGCTTATCGCCAGGCATGCAATGTTTGGGGAGTTTTCGTCCATCCGCGTTCAGGTCCTCAAAAATGCAACGGAGGGTGATGCCATACAGTCTAAGAAAGGCGCGTGTGCCGGAGAGGACTCACCCACTATTCCAAGGGCACCGTATGAAAGAACGGCAAGGAGAAAGATCCAACAGCAGAACACATCGGTGCAGCTTCTGTTGAGACAGGAGAAAAGGAGTCCGCCGTCTGTTTGGGAAATTTTCCTTCTGCAAAATTCGGACGTTAAACAGGCAATACAGGTCGTAGCGTTCAACGAAAAGTCTCTCCCACGTCATATAGGCCATCAAGGCAACGCGACACCGTACAATACAGCGACTTGATGAACATGAAAACGGTCAACGTGAGGCTGAATCCCGTCAAGTCGCGCTGAGCGGTCTTGATCACGAGTACGAAGAAGTGGCTGACCTTCGATGGACGGGACCCCTGAAGAAAGGATCGAATGGGCGTGGCTCACCTGAGGACATGAAAAAGATAAAAACCTCAATTGCAACGGAATCATCTGCGCAGCGAAACCAGTGAAAAGGGACGTTTTTAGAAACATAACAAGACTACAATCTACTTTTCTCGACTATCTGATACGATACTATCTAAGTCAATTGCGGTAGAAGGCGGGCTGGTCCCCAAGTCAACCTGGGGGGTAGTGGGGGGGGGTTGACTACAGCCTATGCAACCACCAGTCTGATGTTGGCAAGAACTCAACTCAACTGTATTTATCGAGCACTTTGAAAGAGGAAAAAAAAATACATCCACTGTATCCACATAGTGTGGATTGAGCAGCTGCATGATAAATGTCCAGGCTTGACTGTAAAGTACCAGGATGAGGAAGAGCGGGCGCAACAACAACGACCAATTAAACGGAGTCAGCGCCTTGGTGAAATAGGCCGAGCTCAGGTAATCCCATAGCATTACCCGAGCGTAATGCACTCTTGAGCTCATCTTAATCCGAGTGACGACTAAAATAGGAGCAAGTGGTTCCAGGAGCAACCCCATTGCTGCGAGTCAGACAATTCCGTACTGTGGATGGTGACGCTTTTGGAGAGTGGAGGATACCAGGCGGGAAATGACGAATGATACGGGCCAAAATGAAGGAAGGAGCACACGCTGGGCCAGCTGTCCCCCGTGGAGCCACATTTGATTTTCCACCTTCAATTCCCATCTTGCCGTTATCCAAAAGAAAGAAAACGATGAGGATTCCTCATCCTCAAGTTACCGCGAATGAAAAAGTCAAGCGCGAGTTAGCGTAGGGAGTCAATTTGCTCCCACCGAAGTAGGTGTGGCGGCGGGCTTGTTGAATTTGAAACCCGAAAAAGAAAGTGCTGCAGGTTCTCATACGCAGGCCAACAGGAAACAAACTCAGCGGGCAGCGTTGAAGTCCAATCAAGCACCGTCGCGCTCTTCCAGTCTTTCTCCATCACTTTTCCAAGCTGCTTTTGTCCGCATTAGCCGGAGCCTCGCCGCGGCCGGACAGCTTTTGGACTTCGTCGGCCTCGCGGAGAAAATGCACAAATGTGTACATCAAATATAAATGAACGTTTGTCAGCGAAGCGGCACGGCTGCCATTGGGATGTGGGACAGCCGCGAGGGTGTCCACGAGCTACAAGACAGCTTCAAACGGAGCGGGAGAAAATGGCTCAAGTCTCCATACGCAGTCATTAATTCAATGAGCTTTGCAACCAGAACGACAACAACAACAACAATTCAATCAATAATGAGCCTTCAACATAGTATTTCAGATTGGGACTTGTGATATTATGGCATGCTGAATGAAATGTGGCTTTGTCTCTTCCAGAGAATATTGTTGCTCCCTTACTCACCATAGAAGTGCTCAGCTTCATTGACTGTCGTGGCCTGAACAGCGGCCGAGCTGCTGGAGGCGTGCCGCTGCCGCTGCCGCGCCATGCTTGCGGTTTAACAACCAGAAGACCGGATGGATCGTTGAGTTTGCGGATTACGCTCACCTCTCTCTCTCTCTCTCTCTCTCTCTCTCTCGCTCTCGCTCTCTCTCTCTCTCTCTCTCGAACTACCTCATACTTGGTCATGTTTGCCTCTCACCATTCAAATCAGTCAATTCAAAGCATTTCAATACCTTCAAAGTATTTAAATACCCAATGCCGGATTGCTGGTCCCACATATTGAAGTTAAAAAAAAAAAGTCCAAACCACAAGCCATGAGACAAAATTCTTTGGAATGATCAGACAAAGATTTAGGTTCTTTTGCATGAATGCCAGACGGATATTCTGTTTCAAAGAAGTGCTCATCACCTGGCCGGGACCACCTATGAGACGCTCCTTAATACGATGGCGGCGTCAAAATGCTTCCGGGTCACATTCGGTGTCCTGAGGAGCGAGAAACGTTGGAATTTGAGAGACATGAGACGAGCCCCGCAACTATCCGGAGTACCGGGAAGAAATAAAGGAGTGCAAAATGGGAGGAAGAGAGGTCAAGCTGGCACTTGTGTGGCTGTCTGCCTCTGCAACATGACGCCGTGGCTTAGCCTCAATTTAGCGGACATCGGATTTTCTCGCAATTTTGACAAGGCCGCCAATTAAGGGCCTCACAACACGACAACTTCATTTGCATTCTATCGTGGTACTGTTGTATATGTTAGTTGTTCCATGTACAGCACTTTGTATGCAGCGATGGCTGTTTGAAAGTGCTCTATAAATACAGTTGAGTTGAGTTGAGTTGAGTGGCGGTGTCGGAAGGCAAAAATCCCAAACCGATGATTAGAAGTGTCTTACAGGAAAACGCCAGCAGATGGCAGCAGCGCCCCACCCAGGACAAGATGAGGCGACTGTGGGCCATTCGGGAAACTGGGATCGACTTTCGGAGGCCCGTCGTTCATAACGTCTATGTTGATCACTTCGTTTGCCTCATGTCATTCGTGAGTCTGAATCTCCCGAGAATTTTCACCCCGAGTCTTCGACCTCGCCCGTGTCAACATCAAATAGTTTCAAACGGTGAAAATCATCCACTCGGGTGACGGGAGCTCATCCCCGGCTGTCATCATCGGGGTGTCGCCCGGCTCCGCTCACGCAAAAAGCAACAATGGTTTCTCTCTCGCCATCACACCTTGGGACCATTTCGAGCGTTCCCTTCGGCGACCGCGCACGTTTTGGGGAATGTGGGAGGAAAGCCGAGTGGCCGAAGAAAAGCCACGCGGGCGCGGGGTAGAACATCTGGCCTGTGCCCGGAATTGAACCAGCGCACCTCTCGACTGGGAGGCGGACGCACTCAGCGGTCGTCCGCCGAGACCTCGTATTCTTTTCAAAAGATGACATGACTTGTGCCGTCTTTTCATTCCTGCTTTCACCGGCTAAAAGGACCCGAGGTGTGTTTGAAGAAAGTATTTTACCTCCACTCTATGACGCCAACTTTTCGTGCAAGCGCGAGCCATGCTGCGCAGACATATCCCAAAGCAACCGCTGTGGTGTCGCGTCTTAGAGAAAGCCTGTGGAGCCGCACGCATTCGCGAGTCGGCTCATTTCAGAATCCAGCTGAGTCGTCATCTCTTTGGTCGTTGGCTCACTCGGAGCTGGCAGATGTCGCTCGCCGTGTCGTCCGGATGTTCCTCTTGTGGAGTTTGGGAGGTCACAATCGCTGCCGCTTCACGCCCTCTCTCCCAAAACGCACTTTGGCTCGCGTTCGGCATCACGTTATCACACAGTTAACATCGAAGTGAAATACTGCCGGAACTCATCACGTGAACGCGCCATCTGGCCCGTAATTGCATCCTCTCCGACTTGAGCCATTTGACGACACCGCTGGAGATTTGGAGCGTCGAAACCGGCGCTCGTTCACGTCACCGTGTCGGGTCTTTCCACCCAAGATCTGGCGAACCGGCTCGAATCGTCGTGGCCAAGTGACGCCGGCTAGGAGCGGCGGCGCCTTCCGAGACGATGTTCCCCAGGTGGATCGATTCTCATCCGAATAATCCGGGCAGCCGCGAAACCCTGCGTATTTATCCGGACCCGCAACATGCAGCATATTGATGCAGGCCCGCTAATTGTGCGCGGCGACGGGTCGGCAACCGCGCCCCTCGCCCACAGACAGCTGCTCCAGCGCACCCACCAAAAAAAATTATAAGCGCGACCCGGAACGGAGGTGAGGTGTCTGGGGATCGTCTTCACGCTCAGACGAGAGCAAACCACAAGCTAGAGCAGTCCGTCAAGACACTGAAACAATACTCACCGGTGGCGGGTAACAACTGGAAACTTAGGTGATTTTGTTAATTGTCCTTTTATGTTTGAGCATCGTATGATTTCATGTTAGGATGACCTAAAGTTGGCAGAATTGTGGCAAAGGTCGATGATTGCGCCTTCACTGCGAGCGGCCCTTCGTCGGGCGCGCGGCAAGTACTTGTGGTACGCTACCGCCACCTTGTGGCCACGCGGCAACAGCATTCGCCGTTCACCAAAACAATGTCGCCAATGTTGTGGAAAAGGGGATTTGGAGTGGCGGTCCGAGTTCCAATGTTAAGAAAGACAAGTCGCACCTGAGTACACCTGAGAGGAGCGGCCAAAGGCGTGAAAACAATTCAGACGAGCGGCGTGGCTCTCCTCGGCAAAAGAAAGAAACACTGGTCCCACGAGTGACCGGCCGAGAATACAGAAGTGAAAAGGACAATGAACAATGAAAAGGAACAGTTGCTTCATTTGTATATTTGAATTTTCCTAACGCGCTACGAGGGCCCCGCCTGTCGAATCACAACAATCCGCGGCCGTGGACATTTCAACACGCTGCGACAAGTCAACGCGTTTCCTTCCATCATATCGAGGATTTCAGGTCAGCTCGGAAACGAGGAGAGAGCGCAGACTGCGGCTGCTTAAAAACCAGATTATACACAAGTAGGAGGACGGCGTCTCGACTGCCCCGAAAGCAAAGAGGACTCGATCTGAAGCGCTGACGTGAAAACTGAGAACGTCATCGCTCCGCCGCCATTTGGGTCATTCTCGTCTTCACGTCGTCTCTGGCCTCAGTCCTTTTTTCTGTTCCGGCCCTGGAACGAGTCCATCAAGTTGAAGGCTCCCAAGTAGTGACCGAGCAGAAGGCCCTGCTTCACCGGGAGGACACTGCGGGCGTGGAAAGAAAACAAGCAAAGAAAAACACCGTCAGCAGGACGTCACGGCGATGAATACTTGTCTGCATCGTTCACTTCAAGAAGGCGCGTCTTAGTTCTGCCCTGCGTGCGTGCAGAGACAACTCGGGCTCAATAATGACTTTGGAGACATTTTATCTGGATGCATGCGGCAAGTTGCAATCTGTAGAGTTCAAATAAATGCCCAATGTTCCGAAATGGATCCTTTTCCTGATTCATTGCGCGATCGCTGAAACAATCATCGAAAAACATCACGAGGACTTTGCTGAGTAACTCATGACTTTGACGGGACAGTGAGTGAGTTGGGAACTCAATTACTTTTTGGAAGAAGTCATTTGGATACGACAACTGATGACTTGTTTTTAACTCTGTTGTTGATGTTACGCCCCCCCCCCCAAAAAAAAATAGAATCATTTAGACATGATTTTGCGTGGGCAGGACGGTTCCTTCCAGTCGGGAGCTTCTGGAATTCAAACTTGTGAATGTTTTCCCTCTGTTCGTGTCGCTTTTCTACGCAGCCACTAAAAAGGAGGGCCGGACGCGACTTTGTCGGCGGGCTATCTCCTGGCTGACGGAGGTTGCGCAACCGAGGCGTTTGCCAATAGGATGGTCGGCCTTGGACGCGGTCAATATTGACCGACGCTTGAAAATGAAGTCAAATAGAATTGCTTGTCCAAATGTCATCGGGTGTTCCTTCGCGCAGCAGCGAGTGTTGCGCACACCGCTTTGGCATTCGTCGGCGTGAACCTGCCGTGTGCTGCCAGTTATTGTTTTACAAGTCCGACGGACCGGTGCGAAAAGTGCTGCGGGTGAAACAACAAAGCCGGTGGCGCCGTGACTGTCCCGCCACGGAAAAGAAAACGCTCTTTTGCCAGCAGCGACGCCGCCTTTTGTTTCTCGCCCTTAGGACGCCGAGCGGGCGCAAGCGTGACGAGCCACGGTGAGAGAGACGATAAAGAGGCTTGGCCACTCAACTGGCCCAGACACGGACACGAACCCCCGATCAAATAGCAACAGTTCCGGATGCTTTGCTTTTCATCCGATTAGCAAGCGTTCGTCGGCACAAGGTGGGTCATCTCGGGCCCATCCTACCACGACCACGCCATTCCGTCAAGCGCCTTTCCATGGCGACGATCCAGCCCCGCCAAAAATCAGTGGCGGCTTCCAGCTATTGGAGGACCGACACCCTCGGCGGACGACCGACGACTGCTTTCAAAGTGAACCGAGACAATAACGCTTCATGCGACAAGCCCTTCTTCCAAGTCTGCCTCCAACGCCTCGCTTTTAGCGGAATTAAAGAGCGGTGATGGGCGAGGCGCGAGCCTCATTTGCATGAAGAGGAAAGCTTTGCGAGACGGAATAATGGCTCTGTCCTCCGACAAATGGCCCGCACGGAGACAACGAGAACACGACACAGGAGAAAGCGTTCTCATCAGAGGCAACGCACGCGGGAACGCACGCGGGCCGCCGCATACACGAGGCGTGCGCACACCCGAATGCCGAGGAGGTCCCCGAGCCACTAACTTCCGGCTGACCGACGCTCGAAGATTCACGCAACGGCCGATGCCGACCGATGTCATCAATATTCGCGACTCGTCCCCGCCTGTCGGCGGCCGGCAGCGCGGCCGCCCTTCCTGTCGCAACCCACAGGAAGCGGGCGTTTGCAAAACTCGCCGGCGATGAGAAGACAAAGAATGAAGACGAGTCAGGGCGGGCAATCTTCTTCAAAGCCTCCGTCCGGCAACGCCCCTCGGCGCTCTTTGCTGACTCCTCGACTTATTTTCCAACGGCTGAAGCATCTCAACATTGAACCAGCAATTAGTCATAACCT